TGTGGACCATGAGTTTAAATCTCCGACCAGGATTAAAGGTTTGGGTACTGACGTTAAAATATGTCTAAGCTTAGCAAGCGTAAGTCTTCGTTGTAGGGTATATAGAGATAAATAAATAATAGGAACTTTAAATCCTATAGATACCTGAATAGCTGTCGAAGCGATATTCTAATGGCTTGGCAGGTATTTCTGTGGACATGATTTACATCTTATTGGATTTGGGGTAATATTATTTTACACGGGCTAAGCGTCATGAAACCTATATTTTTCGGGTAATTTTTAGAAGCCAAGTGTGAGAAGTTGTACTCCGGAATGTTGTAGATTATTGTTCACTTTTTTTTAACTTGATTTTCAACATCGTTGAGGCATGGTGCAAATTTGTATTTTACCTTTTGTAAGTTCAGATTATCATGACACTTACCTCTAATTCGTATATTTTATTCAATCGCTTTATAGCGAAGAGTTTAAAGTCTCGAACACAAGATACAAAGACTGCATCAAAATATATGTTTTGCTTTTTAAAGGAAACTGGTAATTAAAAAATACAGAAATTAATCGATACATCGATTGGTATCCGAAATACTGACATTTTGTATGACATAAAATATCCAATCAATTAATTTAAGCTAAAGGTAGACGTACACGACATACAAGTGTTTTCGATCGGTATATTTGCGAGTGATATTTACTCGGGTATGGACTTGTGCGCATGAATTCGTTGGCGAAAATTCTCGATTTTTTGCAACCGGTATGCGCACATTTTTGTCGTGTATGGTGCTGTGTGCACGTTCATTTCACTCGTGTCGTCGAAGAGTAAACATCGCGTAAGAACATGGCCATAGAGAATTGGAATCACAGCGATCGCTTCACCTTATCTGAATGGTTAGTTTGGATTGTTACCCAATTTTTTATTTTTTTTATTTGCTTATGAAAAGTATAAGAAATAAAGATTTATGTACATATTTACATTTTGTATTTAAAAACCTATAATTTTTTTTAAATAATTACATGGAAATTGGTCATTTCAATTCACTTTACATTTGCATATACACATCAAAGTGAATTGTACTTGTTCATTTGTAATACCTAATACAATTCAATTTTGTCTAACTAAAAATAGAACTTTTCATGGAACATTGCTATTATCATACATTATTTGTGTTTGCCTGGTACATACGTAACAATAATGTAACATTTTTTAAAAAACAAGAAATTTTCTCAAAAAAAATTAAGTGAGGCAAAATATAACTAATTTAAGATAGACCTGCATACCCTCAGACTTAGACGTTTTGGTTGTTGTTGCTTTTGCTGACTTGGACGATTTTGTTGTAATTTTTAGGACGAACAAAAACCGTTTTGCTCACACACACACCCACACCCACACATAACACTAATCTCAATGTGGAATGCACAATCAGACATGCATACATATTTACATATATATACATATATGCATATGTTATTATTTTATCCGATTTCTCGGTTTTTAGCTGTTAGAACTCTGCTACTGCCGGAATTATTCAATTAATCTTTTAAAGGAAGAAAAACCCTCTCCCTTTCCCACACGTTGCCTTAGCGAAAGGTGTTGCTTTTATACACATACGTGTATGTTCCCATATTTTAATTTAAATCTGAAAAAAGGATAAAAGTAAAGATTTTCCTCAATGAGGATAGTAAATTCTTCAATGTTTTCTGACTTGTATTCTGTTAAAAATTAAATTTAAACTATGGCATTTTTAGTACAGATTTACAGATCTAGGTGACCTGAATGACAGGGTTACAGAGCATGAAAAACAGTATCCAAACGAGACTACATTATATATTTAGAATATTATTGAATTCGACTTTACAACTACACTGAAACAGGGCTTCGAAAATAATATATTTTGCGCAATTTGTTATATAACATTAACGCTACATTTGTTGCAGAAGTTTGAAGCTGAACTGTCCAGCATTTATAAATTTCATTTTGTCGAAAGACAAACAATCGTTGGTTATAAGTAGTCTGAATCTTGAACATAATCACGAGGCAAGGTGAAATTTGAAAAGTTCACTTTTATAATTTCCATAATTGGCAAACACATACAGTAATTTTGAATCGCTACCGAAAGGTAGCACGACTTGTAAATGACCTTGGGTCAAGTAAGAGAAAAATCATGATCGAAATCAATGAGAACTCAAAAAAAAAGTCGCAAGAAAATATATCGGTAATATTTGCGCTAAATACAACGATACCATTATATACCAAGTTTAATATTCTTGTGTTTTCCTTGGTGGAAGTTACTAAGGGAAATACTTATTAAAGTTGAGTAGTTACTCAAGTTTGTTGCTCAAAACCGACTGACGACTAAAAACAAACGTTCTTATATCTAAGCTAGCCGTGACCTATAATCGCTGAAGCAGCATTTGTGTTGAAGTGGATAAGGTAGCTGAGCGGATAGTAGTTCGGGCGTCGGCGCATGGCATGTTGACGGCAACAAAACTGTGATAAACTTGCTAGCGTGGCTGATCATGCACAGGTGTCTGTAAATTTCATGATCAGCGGATAAGTGTTAACTCCTCTCTCATCTACCACGGGTATTGGACTGTGCAATGCCTCCAGAACGTAGTTGTTGCGCACAAGTTGAAAAAGGTAGCTCTTTGCAGAACGTTGGGGTAAGCATAGCAGTACACTTTCCAATTGGTAAATTTTTATTACCACAGTCTGCACATTGCTATCTCCGGCAAAATGAAGGATTGTGCTATTGTGCTGTTTCCCGTTCATAGGGTTATATTTTTACAAACTAAGCTAGGATCAGGATATTTGGTAATAAAGTATAGAAATTTAAAATCTAACATTAATAAATGAGACTTCCATTAAGTCTGCTGTTGTTATAATGGTAAAGTGCTCGTTTAAAATATGATTTAAATCTTTTGAATCAAGCATTGCTTTGTCCGAACCCTCCTCCAATCTGTGGTTTTGCGTCTTGATATTTTTCCAACAAAATGGAAGGACCTCCAAACGGCTGATGGTTTTCATATGAGTAGCTTCATTTCATGTCAGAAATATACTCGGAGGGGTTAACATTCCCTGCCCAGTGGCGACCGCAATTAGAAAATTTAGCTTAATCTCTTAATTAAATTAATTTTCTATAACATTTGGATCGCACGGATATTTATCCCAAGCCTTCCGAATGGCAGTGAGCAATGCGGCAGGGTTAACAATTTGAATTTTTACGAGTACCTATGGTGAATGGTTACAGTTTCTAAAAATGAGGAAATAGAGCCATGAGTGATTTTGTCTCTTCGGTAACTTCCGAGTAGATAGCTAAGTCTGATGAGTGTGTTAGGAACTTAAATTCTTTCCAAATAACTGCATTTCCATTCATTAAAGGAATGTAATCCGAATTTGAGTAGCCAGTTATACAAGACATGGTGAGTACTGAAAGTTTTTTTTTTTTAATTGTCCTTATGGACCTCCCTCTCCATAATTAGGACCGTTGATTCCAGGTTCGGATTCTAGTGTAACTTCTTCAAGCAAAGACGTTAGTTTTTTGTTTAATTCCAAAAATACTTTCTCGTCTATTTGAAAAGTTCTATACCTTCTGTCGGTGTAACTCCTAGATGGCAAGGATATAATTTTAAATAAATCGGGCCCTCATCTTCCTGTTCGAATTGTGGCGATATTACAACATTTAAAACTTTTATCTATATCAAGAGGGACTTGTATGTTTTTAACTTTTTTAAAAAATTTACCTGTTGAGGGTGATTTTCATTGTCTGTGGCTGTTAATTCGGTATCAACAATTGTCTGAATTTCTTGTTCCTCTCGGTAAACTGTGAAATGCACAGTGGATCAGTCTCAGTGAGTTTTCGAGTTATAGGTTATGAAATTGAATAATACTGATTATGGGTGGTCTATTTAATTCATTGGCAATTTACCACTAACAGGCCTATTCTGTCGAGGTAATAAAATTTACTTAGGTATTAAAATTTATCATTCAGTAAATTTTGTTACCATTTCGTATTCTGAGCTCACTATTACCCTGTAAATTTTGTTACCAGCGAAATAGGAGGTAACAAAAATATTTGCTGTTTTATTTTGCGTTTGAAGTTTGAGAAAAAATAAAAAACCAAAATGGGTAGGCATATTTTAGGACTGGAATTCATTGAAGATGAAGAAAAAAGTGCAAAAAGCCGTATATTAAGAAGTTTTCGAGACTAAAGAATAGCAATTTAGTTTGTAAGATAAAGTTTTCATTCAGCTTTTTTTGTTGTCCAAACTTTTTTCAAACATTGTAACCAGTTCGCCAGAATACCAAATTCAATTTCGGGTGTTAAAGAAAAGTAACAAAATTTACTTTACCGGTAACAGTGAGAATAGGCCTGTAAATGAATTAACTAAAACATATAAGTTCCATTTAAGTATTAAAATTCAGTACTTAGTACTCAGTACTCGAATCATTCATCGCCAACTATAATAACGCATTCAGTTATGATTTGATTTTGAAAACATTTCCTTTGTTGGTCTCTGTGCTGGGATGTGAAGCTTTTTCCCAACTTTTAAATCTGTGATATGCGCAGGCGTTAAATTCGTTCATGGAGAGCGACCATGCTCAGTGCAAAGTTCGAAAAGTATAGAAATTATCAATGTATACGTATATATGTATCTACATAATCAACTATATTAATTTATGTAGGTTTGTATCATCTGTAAGTATATGCATGGGTATATTGTGCACAGAAAGCTTTAAGGATACTACGTAGTATATACCTATTATATTGTATGTATATAATATTACCGTTGCTTCAATTGGCCAATGACAAGCATTCATACGTAAACATTTCAAATCTTAATTCAACTACACTGAGGGTGGGTCAGCAAAACGACACGCCCCACATGAATAATGAAAATTTGTCCTTCCCAAATAAACTGGAGTTAGTGAAACTCATCATAGAATTCTTTATCATACGGTTGTCTAGTTGTGAAATCTGTTCGGGTCCGATTAGTTTAAACAATGGTGGATTCTTGTGAATAAAGTACTTTAGATATAATTACGTGCGTATTTTTATATCTGGCGTTTCATAATTCATCAATTTGTATTCATAGTTAGTTTTTTTGATCGGTGCTAATGTTCGTTAATGTACACGCAGTGTACACATATACACATACTACATACATGCATGTAAACAAGTGAAGTGTCTTTCTATTTACAATACAATAAGAAAACGGTGCAATAACGGTATAATGAAATAATTCGAATGAACAAAATGTTCATAATTTATGTGGAAATTAGTGTTTAAGATTAAAGAAGAAAAAAACGAAAGAAAGCAGAAGATTTTAAAAAAATTTTCGCATTTCTAAATCCTAATACCTTGTCCTGCGTATATTATATGCAGGATACACATAATTTTAAAAAGAGCGCTTCAAAATTTACTCGCCGACGACTTTTGACGCCTCTCGGGCGTTTAAGCTCGAGGAGGATTTCGTAGGGAGCTGTGTGACAATGTCAATGTATTCAACGACGGATAAAATGAAAATGTCTGCTCCTACCTGCTTTCCCGGGCGATATAGTCCGACGTATAGAGGTCCTGATCAAATGAGGAGATGTATGCCAAATCCTTCTGTAAGTACATGTAGACAATGGTAAGTTCCACGTAGCATATTATTCTAAGGTCTTGAGTAGATTGAAGGAATTAAAAATGAGAAATAAAGCAAAAATCAAAAAATTATGGAACTACCATACATACACATATGTATGTGTGTATGTATGTCTACATACTGGACTACAATAATTACATACGTGCAATGTATGTGAGCGAGTAGAATTCTGAATTTCTTCACAGAGAATGAGAGAGGCAGAATTAAAGGACGTTTCATATCGTCGACTTTATTTGGCGCCATACAAACTCGTAGGTACATACGTATGTATGCATGTTTATGAATGTGAGCGTGTACATAGGTATGTACATAAATATGTACCAATCCATCATACGTTTTACGTATGTATTCTTTTTATGCCCTTCTGCACATACCCAAATACATAATTGATGAAAGTCTTACGACTGGTTTTAAGTTATAACGGAAAAAATATTCGTGTAGGCTGCTGAAAAAAATCGATAACCACCAGACACCAGTTTGCTTACATATGGAATTTACAGTTAAATGACAGCCTTAGCGCTTGTACACACATGCATACAAAGCGAAACAAAGGATGCGCTTCCTCTATGTGTCAAGCGGTAATATTTGTAACATACTTATTTACGTATATAAGCACATAGTCGTTGGTTGGATGTTAGCAAGTTAAATGAACTTCGCCATTTTGCTTTTAGCAACTGAAACTTTATTTAACCGATAAGCCATGAAAAGGAGAAAATGATTTCACCGAATGCCGATGGTGAATAAAATTAAACTCCTACAAATGCAGATCAACTTTAAATATGTTATGGATCGTCAGGTCATTCTAAAATTTAGTAAACGGTTAGATGGAAAAACTTTTAGTATTTAAACTTATAAGGACTCGAGTCTACCATGCTACAACTTATAGCACGCACTAATCGTCCACTGTATCAGCATTGGAATTACGTTAGTTACGGCGCACCAAATTTTTACAAAATGTTCCACCCTATTAACTTTTACTTTCGATACATATGGAATACATATACACATACTTGTATGTATGTACATAATTCGCTGAGCTACTTCTGCCGGGTCGAGAAATTATAGATATAATATTTATAATAAAAATAATCAAAATAGCTCCAATTCAAATAAGTTTTCAGATTAGGTATTTAGGGGTACAGTGGCTCAAACGTATAATTGACACTAACAGGCCTTTTCTGTCGAGGTAACAAAATTGGAAAAAGGCGCATGCTAAGAAGTTTGCCAGAAACAAATGTGCCTTCTGATTTGGAAGATAGCGTTTTCATTCAGTTTTTTTTTTGTCGCTTAGGCATATTTTCCATAATTAGGTTCAACTATTTATGATTTAATAAACAAATTAATAAAACTTTTTAATTTTTTTTTTTGTGCATCGTCTTCCATTTCGATGTAGATATTTTTCTTTTTACTTTACCAACCAGCAAATGTAATTTGACAAGGATGAAAAAAGCAGTGATACCCAAGTTTTTTTAAAGATTGTAACCAGTTCGCCAGAATACCAAATTCAGTTTCGGGTGTTAAAAAAAACCCAACAAAATTTACTTTACTGCTAACAGTGAGAATAGGCCTCTAAGTATACGATAATTCAATTACCAATTTTTCTTTCCAAAGTGAAAAATTCCAGAGTTGTAGGTTTTCAAAAAAATCTTTAAAAGAATGTATAATACTTATGATCTTTTATTAAAAAAATGTAATTAAAGGGAAAAAATCGAACGAAATTATAGTCAAACGCAGCATATACGAGTATAATACAAAAGTTTTAATATTTACAAAACATTTTGCTTTTATTACTGCTTCTAAATGCCGGGGCATCGGCTGCACGAGATTGTCGCAAAAATCCAGAGATATGTTGTTCCACTCATGTCTGATTCCCTGCTTCAACTGCTTACTGTGGCTTTATAGAGCTTACAGGCAAGTTCTTCCCAAACATGCTCAATAATGTTGATATCTGGCGACTGTGCCGGTGTTTGCAGCAATGTTGGACAATCGTGAACAAGCCACAGCCTGTGAGGTATGCTTTGGATCGTTGTCCTGATAGAAAGCAAATTTATCCTGCTTCACATTTTGTTCCAAAATGCCCAAATATTAGAATCAATTTATTTTACCCTGTTCCCTTCTCCTGCACTAGGAACACATCCCCATACCATTACCGAACCTCCCCCATGCCTGACCGGAGCCCGGGTGCTATTAGACAAAAATTCTGTATTTGGCTTACGCCAAACGTACATTTTTCCATCTGACCCATTTAGGTAAAATTTACTCTCATCAGTAAACAGTACCTATTAAAAAAGTGAATATTCAAATTGAATAAGTTTTTACAAAATAACCTTGTTCCAAAAGTAAGAGTTTTTTTTTAAGAAATACTCTTTACAAAATTTAACCCGTGCAATTTTATTCTTTTGACTGATATACGTTTTTTTTTTGCTATTCGCCTATGGAAATTATTCTTCCTTAACACGTTACGAATGGTCTCATCAAACCCCTTTTTTAAGTTCGTGTTGATCTCTATTTTTTTTTCTTTACTACTCTCAAAATCCACGGCTCATCATAGTTAATAATTTCTTTCCATGGCCAATACAACTTTTATTTTCTGCTTGAAAATTTGGCGATGCTTTGGAATCATAGCATGCACCGTGGATGGGCATCTGTCAACAATTTCAACAATTTTACTCACAGATTTTTCTCTCCATAAAATCTTACAACTAATTCGCGCTTCTGAAGTTTTTTTTTTTTGGTCCATTTCCATTTTTATCTGCACTTTGTACATTACACTTGTATATTGATTTATCATTTGCACTGGAATTAAAACGAAATCACTCAGAAATAAAATTAACGGGTCCAAAGAACCGCTTAACAACAATTATGCGTTTGCAAGAATTTCGTTTCCTTTTTCAATTTAAAAATATTTTTGGATAAAATTACATAAGTATTATAAATTTTTTATAATAATCTACAACTCTGCATCAAAATTTTTTTTTGGAAAAATACTCCAGTGCCCAGATTTAATCATATCGGGATAAAATGTTCATGATCGCATCCGTTTTGATTATGCATTCTAAAAAAATTAGCATCGAAACCACTAATTTATGTATTATTATGTACCACTATTATGTGTACAATTATACACAGGATTATCCATTGCATCGTTTCAAAAGTGCTGAACTGAACCAAATATTGCTACTGTAAGTGAAAGTGTCTTTTATGTTTTTCAGCGTTCTCAAGAGAGTACGGTACATTACAATGCAATTTGCACTTGGACTTTAATTTACATCCATATGAAGTGCATTTCATACAACCGAAACCAGCTGGCCAGAGCTTGAACAAGGATCGGTGGACGGTGATTTTTCAAATATAACATGCTTCTGCGATTAGGCTAATTTCTCTCTTTGTGGACACGTAAATTATTAAAGATGACGTATTTGTAGTTGAGAAGAGGGCATTACACCTAAATAAATTTGCTGTCTGGATCGCTCTTTTTATCCGGAGGTGTGATTGGACCTTACTTCTTTGAAAACCACAACCAGACTTTCAGTGATGATTCGCAAAGTTATGGTTGCATGGTAACTGAATTTTTTTGACCTGCAATTGAATAACACGACTTGCACAGTATGTGGTTTCAGCTGGATGATACAACTCGAGCGAATATTGCTTTATTGCAAGAGACATTTTCCATCCACCGAAGTCATGCGATTTAATACCGTTCGATTTTTTTTGTGGAGTTACGCGAAAGACGATGTTTATGTGAATAATCCTTTAACTCCTGAGAACTTCAAAATCAACATTCGTCAAGTCTTAACTGAAATACTTTGTAATAAAAAAAGGAATTACGTGAAAAGATTGTAATTGTAATTGTAATTTTCTCTCTTTTATTTTTTGTTGTATGTTCTTTAATACATAAATTTGTCGTGATGTTGAAAGAAATTTTTATTTTTATTTTGCAGCCGTTTGAAACTAATCCAGAAATTTATTCATTACAATCAATCGACTTCATTTTTTCTTGGTCAAACAACACATTCAAAAATTTAATATGGAGATTTGCAAATCTTATTGTGCTAATGATTTGTTATTATTATTGAATAAATAAAATAAATAAATAAATTACCATGTCTTGATATTTTTTGTGTTAGGACGGCTTTCTATACTCGTGCTAATTGGTTCATCACTTAAACACTATTCTTTCGAATGATACCTAGCATCTAATTAAGAGCCAAACCTTGGATATAATTGTCTATCGAAATATAAATTGGAATAGAAATTTAATTTTTTTTTTACAAAGAGAATCTTGGGATTATGAAAGTTCGTTACCGATAAATATTGACTATTTAATTGTCGAAAAAACTATTAGGTTTGACTAACTAAAACAGAATAAAAAATTGCGAGATTTTTGAATAGTTATCTCTGTCGAGGTAATGAAATTATTTTGGTATAAAAATTTGCCAATAAGTAAATTTTAATACAATTTCATTTTATAAGTTTACGTCAACTTGTAAGTTTTGTTAGACGCGAAATTGAAGATAATAAATAATCTTTGACTTTGTGTTTTTAACTTGAGAAATAATAAAAACCAAAATGTAGAGGCATGTTAAGAAGATTGCGAGACAAAAAGAACTTTTTATTTTGAAGATAGCGTTGTCATTAAGCATTTTCGCCTGAACAAACTATAAAAGATTTGGCTCCATATGATAAGGTGTTCAATTTCATTTATAACATTTGAATCAAATCTTGTTTGGACAGAATACTTCCTTGCCGTTTCATTTGAGGCTTCTTTCAAAAATATATTTTGTTTCCCACGTGTCGTATCAGAAATGCGTTGGAAGCAATTGTCCAACTCTATGAGCTAACCTTCTGTTTCGCGATCACTGCACTATATTTCAAATTTCACTGTCAAAGTAAGAGCCTGGAAAATGTGCATCCCAACAACAAATGAAACGCAAATATACATAATAAGAACAACTGGCAAATGTA